CATCCCCAAAACTGGCTGAGCAAAGTGAAATTTTATGCTATGCTTTGTTGTTCCTTGGAGGTACAAGATAAAGAATGGGAGAAAACTGGAAGAGACAACAAAAGCTTCGGAATGTTCCACAAATTCCTTGCATTCGAGTCCCTCCCTCCGCCTCTGACAGTTCCTTACTGAAGGTACAGCATTTTATTCACAGACAGGGAGTTTGTCTGTCTTTCCGTCAAGGCTTGAGGACTTTTGCTGCTGTCTTTGTTTATCCAACATTAGGGAGAGGGACTTAAAATAAGCCCTTGCTGCGTGCTGAAGTCCCACATGAGTGAATGAAAGAGCACTTGGATGATCTACTCCTACATTTCAGGAGCTCTTGGGAGACAGTCACCTCTTCATGACTGATTCACTACCAGTGGGGAGAAACTCACTAATTGACCATCGTCAAATTTAGTTAAAGTCATTCTCATAAATACTCTTTGTAAAAATTTCAGTTCTCTTCCAACCCTTCAAGGAAGAATAGACTACAGGGTAAGAATATTAGTAATGTTACCTATAACTTCTCATTTAGGAAATTTAGAGTTTTACTAAGTTAAAAAAGTAGGCATTTTTTTCTTTGTAAAATAAAACCATAACTTTTAAGGTTTTATCTTACATAATGGAAATTCCCATTGAACTTTGGAACTTTGCTCTTGAAATTAGCTTGCAATTTTCATATTATCTCATTCTCAGTCTTTTGAAAAGTCTTCATTAGTTATTCAGGAGTGGAATCCATTGTCTTCTTCAAATATATTATCCTCCAAAATCTCTAATTGAGAAACTGAAGCTGAAATGGTATCTTAAATTGTGAGGTACGTGGCTTTGCTATTTTCACTCTAGATATATTTTCAATATTAAGTTTAAGGTCTCTAAACCTCAAAAAAAAAAAAAATCTGACTCATGGATTTCCACAAACTTTCTAACAGGTAAAAGGCATCTTACCCTATTTTCACATTTATTATCTTAAATTGAGTTTTTATTACAGGGTTATCAACTAGTTTTGAAAATTCTATTATTATTTTGAATTTTTTGGGCTAGGATAAACTTATTTTATCTTGATTTTTCTGGAATGTTGATGCCACTATGTCAGTTTCCCTATCTGTAAAATGAGCACAATAAATTGCCCATCTCATGGGATCGTTGTAACTTAACAGATGATGCATGCAAAATGCTCAGCACAGCACAAAATAAGCACTTAAGAGATATTAGGTACACAGAAGTAATTGAAGTCCTGGCCCTTCTTATTTTTCCCTACCTCTCTGAAAGTAGCCTTCTAAACGGTCTCCCTACCAGCGTTCTCTTTCCTCAAGCCTGTTCTCTACAGCAGGGCCAGAGTGATTTTTTAAAAATGTAGATCTGGTCAATTTAGAGTATGGCGCATTTTGTTGGATAACTTGTCCCAACACGGTGGAAAGCTGTCCTGTGCATTGCAGGGTGCTTAGCAGCCTCCCAGACCTCTGCTCACCAAATGCCAATAGCACCTCTTCCCCTTCCCACCAATTGGGCTGATCAAAAATTTTACAGACACTGTCAAACGTCCCTTGGGGGTAAAAATCATCCCTGTTGAGAATCATTGCCTTAAATAAAGACCTTTGATGGCTCCTCACATAAAAATTTATCCTTAAACTCTTAACATAGTGAAAATGGCTTTTATCATCTTCCTCTAACTCTACAGGCTTTTTGAAATCAAAAACTAGGTTTTTTGAAGCAAAAAAAAATCTAGTTCCCAAACATGTCCAGATATTTCATGCCCATAAGAGATTTTGTACCGGTTTCTCCTTCTGTCTGTAACTAGCCTTTGTTTTTCTTCTAGTACAATGGTTCTCAAATTTTAATGTGCATATATCAGAATCACCTGGAGGGCTTGTTAAAACAGAGTGCTGGCCCCACCCCATAGAGGTTCTGATTCTGTAGGTCTGGGTGGGACCTGAGAACTTGCATTTCTAACAGGTCTCCAGGTGTTGCCCATGCCCTTTGAGAACCAATATTCTAGTCCCTTCAGGGAACTCCTCACCCTTAAGAGTCAGGTGCAGTGTTCATCTCAATTAGAAAGACTTCCATGATGGCTATGGGCAGTTTGTTTATCTTCTCTGTTTTCATAGCATCTTTTTATTAAAATGCAATGAGCCCTTACCACTTTACCCATCTATTCATCTATCCATCTCCCCTGCGCTCTGAGAACATTCAATGGGAAGTTCTCTTCTACCCACCCAGAGACCTGGCATACTTCAACCCTGTGTAGATTATCACCACCTACTCTCTTCAATAAGGATCAATAAAATTACAGGATCTTAGAAATCCTTAGATCTCCCTGAGTCTAATACCATGACCTACTTACCTAGAATCTTTTACTTACACATTTTCATCACCATACAGGCCAGTGGAAGACTGTTTATGCAAACTAAGGAGGACATCACCCATTCATTTTCCAACTGTTGTGCATTGAAAATATGTATGTTTAGCAAGAGAAGCATCTTAACTCCATGAAAGTTAGCTGGGAATACATCACATTTTTAATCCTATAGAACTCCACAGACTCATCGAAATCACCCGCTCTGCTCTGACAGGACCTAACCCAAGGGCAACAGCGCTACTTTTATAGCATCATGAGGATTTACAACTCCAGGCCCCAGTGGGAGGCCCTGCAGACCCGCCATATTCATAGCCTTCGGCACCAGCAGCTACTCGGTGAGTTTAACTACCTGACCTGAACCACACACCTCAGGAAGGAGCTTGTGCGCTGCAGCTCGAAGTCAAGTTTCCAGATAAATAATTCAAGTACAGTGGCTTCTGCCAGTGTGCTATTTTATCAACATAGTTGGTAAGCCCAATTTTAAAAGTAGTTATCCCCAACAATAGAAAGCAAAGTTTTATAGGTAAAGTAAGAGGGTTTAAAGAAATTCAAGTATGGATTGTTATAAAATGTTAACAACTCTCTGAGATTTGTGGGAACTTAATCAAGTAGATCAATGGCACTGGGTTTGGAAAGCCAGCCTAGGCTCCAGCCACAGCTCAGCCCTTTGCTGTTTGTGCAGGCTCAGAGGCTTGGCTTACTCACAATAATAGTTATATTTATTGAGCATTTATCAAGTTCCAGGCCTTGTGCTAAGAGCTTTATATATAATATCTCATTTTCTCTCCACTTTATGGTTGTGGAAAATGGAAGCTCAGGCAGGTTACGTAACTTGATGAAGATCACGCAGATAGCAAATGTTAGTTAGGATTTCAAGTCAGAGCCATCACCTCCAAAGATCATGCATTTTCACCCCCATCACTTGCTGTCTCTCCTCTTCTATCAACCTCTTCGGATTTTATGAAGCACAAATGAAATAATGGTTGTGAAAGACCTTCACAGATTATAAGCGCCAACCTACTGAATGGCATAATTGTTGTCAAGTCCCTTTTCTTGCAGGAAAAGCTTTCAGTTGCTGGCCTCCCTCCATTTCATTCTTCTCCTAACTCTAATAGAGTGCTTTTTAGAAAAAAAAAATCCACTCACTTGGCATTAGCACATCTACTTTATACTGATGTGCCTGTATTTACACAAAAGGAAGACATGATTTTTGCAAATGATTTAATCAAAGCAACATCAACAATAATTATCTTTTATCAAGGGCTTCCTATGTGGCAGGCACTGTTCTAAGAACTTTGCATGTATTGTCTTATTTAAAATTCAAACACTTCTAGGTGGTAGCTGTCTTTATAATCTGCAGTTTATAGAGGAGAAAACTGAAATATGGACAAGTTAAATAACTTGACCAGGGCATGCTATTAGTAAATGGAGGAGCCAGGATTCAGTCTGGACCACATGATTGTCTGAAGTGTTGCAGAAGCATCATCTAGCAGCTTTGGTTTTAGAGCAAAATTCATAGAAGCCAATGAATCCAGAAGCAGAGGTAGTCAATGTTTAGTGCACATAAAAGCTACCTTTTATCTTATTAAAATGTGTATTTCTAGGCCTAACCCTTTGAGTTTCTGATTTGGAAAGTCTAGTAGAGTCAGGAATCCACTTTAAATAAGCATTTTTTTTTTAAATTTTAAAATATTAAGGGGATACAAATGTTTTTCTTACATGGATACATTATATAATGCTGAAGTCAGGACTTTCAGTGTGCCTGTCACCAAGAGAGTGTTCATTGTACCCAACAGGTGAGTTTTTAACCCTCCTCTCTTCCCCTCCCCCTTCTTAGTTTCCAATGTCTTTTACTTCTCTTTGTGCCCGTATGTATCCATCGTTTAGCTCCCATATATTAGTGAGAAGGTGTGGTGTTTGTTTTTCCATTCCTGAGATACTTCACTTAGGAGAATGGTCTCCAGTTCCATCCAAGTTGCCATGAAAGACATTATTTCATTTCTTTTTATAGTTGAATAGTATTCCATAGCGTCTGTGTGTGTGTGTGTGTGTCACACACACCATGGAATACTATTCAACTATCTTCATATGTATATATATATATATATATATATATGGTTGAATATATATATTCAATATATATATTCCAATGTGAGATATATATGGTTGAATATATATATTCCAATGTGAGATATATATAGTTGAATATATTCAACTATATATATTTGATACACACACACATATATACATGTGTATATATATATATATATCTATCTATCTCACATTTTCTTAATCCACTCATGAATTGATGGGCACTTAGGTTGATTCCATATCTTTGTAATTGTGAATTGTACTGCAATAAACATCGAGTACAGGTGGCTTTCTGATAAAATGATTTCTTTTCCTTTGGGTAGATACCCAGTAGTGGGACTGCTAGATAGAATTGTATGTCTACTATTAGCTCTTAGAGAAATCTCCATACTGTTTTTCCATAGGGATTATACCAGTTTGCAGTCCCATCAACAGTGTACAAGCATTCCTTTTTCTCTGCATCCATACCAGCTTCTGTTGTTTTTTGACTTTTTAATAGTGGCCAGTCTGACAGGGGTAAGGTGGTATCTCATTATGGTTTTAATTTGCATTTCCCTGATGATTAATGATGTTGAACATTTTTTCATATGTTCGTTGGCCATTTGTCTTCCTTTGAAAAGATTCTGTTCATGTCTTTTTCCCACTTTCTGATGTTTTTTTTTTTTCTTACTGATTTCTTTGAGCTCTTTATAGATTCTGGGTATTAGTCCTTTGTTGAATATATAGTTTGTGAATATTTTCTCTCATTTTGTAGGTTGCCTGTTTACTCTGTTGATTATTTCCTTTGCTGTGCAGAAGGTTTTTAATTTAATTAAATCCCATTTATTTATTTTTGTTGTTGCTGTATTTGCTTTTGGGGTCTTCATCATAAATTATTTGCCTAGGCCTATGTCTAGAAGAGCTTTCCCTACATTTTCTTCTAGAATTTTTATGATTTCATTTCTTACATTTAAGTCTTTAATCCATCTTGAATTAAGTTTTATATATGGCAAGAGATAGGGGTCCTAGTTCATTCTTCTGCATATGGTTATCCAATTTCCCCAGCACCATTTGTTGAATAGGGGGTCCTTACCCCAATGTATGTTTTTGTTTGCTTTGTTGAAGATCAGTTGGAGGAGACATTACAACTGACACCAGAGAAATACAAAATATCATCTATGGGCCTGGCGCGGTGGCTCACGCCTGTAATCCTAGCACTCTGGGAGGCCGAGGTGGGCGGATTGTTTGAGCTCAGGAGTTCGAGACCAGCCTGAGCAAGAGC